GTCTATACAAATAAACTAGAAAAGCTAGGAGAAATGGATAAATTCCTGGATGCACACACCCTACCAAGACTAATCCCGGAAGAAGCTGAATCCCTGAATAGACCAATAAGAAGCCTTGAAATTGAGGCAGTAATTAATAGCCTAATTAAAGCCTACAACCAAAAAAAACCCAGGACTAGATGGATTCACAGCTGAATTCTACCAAAGGTACAAAGAGGAACTGGTACCATTCCCTCTGAAACTATTCCAAACAATTGAAAAGGAGGGACTCCTCCTTAATTCATTTTGTGAAGCCAGCATCATTCTGATACCGAAACTGGGAAGAGATACAGTGAAAAAAAAAAAAAAAATTCAGGCCAGTATCCCTGATGAACATCAATGTGAAAATGCTCAACAAAATACTGACAAACCAAATCCAGCAACACATCAAAAAATTTATCCACCATTATCAAGTCAGCTTCATCCCTGGGATGCAGGGCTGGTTCAACATACACAAATCAATAAACATAATCCATCACATAAACAGAACCAAAGACAAAAACCACTTGATTATTTCAATAGATGCAGAAAAGGCCTTTGATAAAATTCAACATCCCTTTATGTTAAAAACTCAGTAAGCTAGGTATTGATGGAACATATCTCAAAGTAATAAGAGCTATTTATGACAAATCCATAACCAATGTCGTATTGAATGGGCAAAAGCTAGAAGCATTCCCTTTGAAAACCAGTACAAGACAAGGATGCCCTGTCTCACTAGTCTTATTCAACATAGTATTGGAAATTCTGGCTGGGTAATCAGGCAAGAGAAAGAAATAAAGGGCATTCAAATAAGAAGAGAGGAAGTCAAATTGTCTTTCTTTGCAGACAACATGATTTTATGTTTAGAAAACCCTGTCATCTCAGCCGAAAACTTCTTGAACTGATAAGCAACTTCAGCCTCAAAGTCTCAGGATAGCAAATGAATGTTCAGAAATCACAAGCATTCCTTTACACCAACAATAGTCAAGCAGAGAGACAAATTGTGAATGAACTCCTATTCACAATTGCTACAAAGAGAATAAAATACTACCTATGAATACAGCTAACAAGCAGTGTGAAGGGCCTCTTTAAGGAGAACTATAAACCACCACTCAAGGAAATAAGAGAGGACACAAACAAATGGAAAAACATTCCATGTTCATGGATAGGAAGAATCATTGTCGTGAAAATGGCTATACTGCCCAAAGTAATTTACAGATTCAAATACTATTCCCATCAAACTACCACTGACATTCTTCAAAGAATTAGAAAAAATTATTTTAAATTTCACATGGAATCAAAGAAGATCCCATATAGCCACGACAATCCTAAGCAAAAGAACAAAGCTGGAGACATCACGCTACCTGACTTCAAACTATACTACCAGGCTACAGTAACCAAAACAGCATGGTACTGGTACCAAAACAGACATATAGACTGATGGAGTAGAAGAGAGACTTCAGAAGTAACACCACACATCTAAAACCATCAGATCTTCGACAAACCTCACAAAAACAAGCAATGGGGAAAGGATCTCTTTTTCAGTAAATGGTGCTGGGAAAACTGGCTAGCCCTATGCAGAAAGCTGAAACGGAACCTCTTCCTTACGCCCTATACAAAACTTAACTCAAGATGGATTAAAGACTTACATGAAAAACTCAAAACCATAAAAACCCTAGAAGAAAACCTAGGCAATACCATCCAGGCTATAGGCATGGACAAAGACTTCATGACAAAAATGCCAAAAGCAATTGCAACAAAAGCAAAAATTGACAAATGGGATCTAATTAAACGAAAGAGCTTCTGCACAGTGAAAGAAACTGTCATCAGAGTGAATAAACAACCTACAGAATGGGAGAACATTTCTGCAATCTACCTATCTGGCAAAAGTCTAATATCCAGAATTTACAAGGAACTTAAACATAATTACAAGAAAAAGACAGACAACCCCATCAAAAAGTGGGCAAAGGATATGAACAGACACTTCTCCAAAGAAGACATTTACGCAGCCAACAAACATGAAAAAAAGCTCAACATCACTGATCATCAGAGAAATGCAAACCAAAACCTCTATGAGATACCATCTCATGCTAGTCAGAATGGCAATTATTAAAAAGTCAGGAAACAATGGAAACTGGTGAGGCTGCAGAGAAATAGGAATGCTTTTATACTGTTGGTGGGAATGTAAATTAGTTCAACCTTTGTGGAAGACAGTATGGCGATTCCTCAAGGACCTAGAACCAGAAATACCATTTGACCCAGCAATGCCATTACTGGGTTTGTACCCAAAAGATTATAAATTAGTCTACTGTAAAGACACCTGCACATGTATGTTTATTGCAGCACTACTTACAATAGCAAAGACATGGAAAATGCCCATCAATGATAGACTGGATAAAGAAAATGTGATACATACACGTCATGGAATACTATGCAGTCATAAAAAGGAATGAGATCATGTCCTTTTCAGGAACATGGATGAAGCTGGAAGCCATCATCCTCAGCAAACTAACATGGGAACAGAAAACCAAAAATCACATGTTCTCACTCGTAAGTGGGAGTTGAACACTGAGAACACAGGGACACAGAGAGGGGAACAACACTCACCAGGGCCTGTTGTGGGGTAGGAGGTGAGGGGAGGGAACTTAGAGGATGGGTCAATAGGTGCAGCAAACCATCATGGCACATGTATACCTGTGTAAAAACCTGCACGTTCTGTACCTGTATCGTGTTTTTTTTTTTTTTTTTTTAAAGAAATAAAAAAAAAAGAAATGGCCGTGAGGAAAGTGAATACATTTTTCTATATTTTTAAATAGCAATCCGGTGAAATTACCTAAGCTTCTTTTCATACTTTTAACACATGTATTTCTTCCTATCTTATCATACACATTCTCGCTGACAGTCGTGAGAGCCTATCTTAGGGAGACAGAAGCCCTGCCATAGTTACGAGGAATTCAGAACAGAATCACTTTTGATCTTCTCTCCATGGCTTTCAGAAAGGATGCATGCCTCTCTTTTCTTGCCTTGAGATTCCCATGAGAGCATTCTGGAGAATTTTCATGCAGTGAAAACAGTAGGATGTGCCTCTGGAGGTAGTTACCCTAGGTTTACGTCCTGACACAGCACTCTTCTGCTTTGTGATATGGGACAAGCTACTGGACCTCTGCCTGCCTCAGTTTCCTCAACTGTAAAAATGGGACAGTAAGAGTAACAATGACGGGGGTGCCTTTCGAGGACTGAATAGTGCTGATTGCATAGTAAATGCTCCCACAATGTTAGCTATTACTGTGATAAATGGATGACATGCCTATTATTGCCTGTCCCTTCAAGTTGTGGGAAAAGCTGGAAAGGAATTCTAGACCTGGCCTTGTCTCTTCTAGCTGTTTGACCTGAGACAAGTCAATTCGCATGTCTGGGCCTTGGCTTTCTCCTCTGTTAATTGAGATTGTTAAACAAGATGAACCTTATGGCATCTTTCAGTCTTCATAGTCTGATTTCGTAGCTTTAGTTATGAATTTTTTATGAAGTAGATTTAAGTAGGCCCATTTCCCACAAGAAAAGTACAATCTGGCTCTAAACTGTATGATTTCTAAACTACTCCATCTGCGTTCTTTGCAGTTGTTTTGGCAGGGGGGTGTGGTGGAGTAGGTGGAATGATGGGGTTCCTTACTAAATGAGCATATTGTGTTTTTCTTTCGCTTCAAGTACTCAGCAACCTTTGACAACTTTGCTCCTGGTAATTACCTACTGCTGGTGCACACAGATTTGCCGCCTTACCCTGACATCCTCCTAAGATGTGGGAGTCGAGTGGGTCTGTCTTTTCCGTTTCTTCCATCACCAGGCCAGAACCAAGGCTGTGACTGGTTCTTCAATAGTCAGTTGAGGCAACTCACCTACCTGGGTAAGTATCCAGTTGGATGAATGTTTTGAGAGCACGTAGTCAGAAATCGCCAATCACCCTTCAATTCCAGACATTTGTACTGTGAAGTGCTGAGGAACTGAAAGGGACAGCTGTGTGTTATGGTTGGGTGAGTGTGCACTGAAGTCCGATTGCCTGGATTTAAATCCCAGGTCCAACACTCACCAGCTAGAGCATACACAGAGCCTCTCTAAGGCTCAGCCTCCTCCTCGATTAAAGAAGTATGACCATAGGGCCTACCTCAAAGGATAGGAAATAAAATAAAGAATAACATGTAAAATTCTTGAGCAGAAGGCCTAGCCCACAAAAAATGCTTACTAGACATTGGTAGTTATTATTAATAATATCTTTAATTCGTATTAGGGCAGTGTCATATTTGTTTATAGTGAAACAACTGCACATGTAAAGATGGATGCCTGTGCTTTAGTCCAGGAGTTTGAGACCAGCCAGGGCAGCAAAGCAAGACCCCATCTCCCAAAATAAATAAATAAATAAATAAAAATAGCTGGGTATGGTGGCATGTGCCTGTGGTCGCAGCTACTTGGGAGGCTAAGGTGGGAGGATCAATTGAGGCCAGGAGTTTGAGACCAGCCTAGGCAACAGAGTGAGACCTAATCTCTACAAAAACGTTAAATAAATTAGTTGGGTGTGGTGACACATGCCTGTAGTCTTAGTTACTTGGTAGGCTGAGGTGGGAGGATAGCTTGAGCCCAGGAAGTCAAGCCTGCAGTGAGCCATGAGCATGCCACTGCACGTCAGCCTGGGCAACAGTTTGAGACACCATCTCAAAAAAAAAAAGAAAAAAGAAAAAAGAAAAAAATTAAAAAATGGATGGCTGATTATGACCATTGATATGAGGAACAGTAGAGAGTCCCAGGTAGACAGTACCAATGCAGAGAGAGAGACTGAATTAAGACAGAAGTTTACGTAGAAGGTGAGAAGGAAAACTTTTGATGAGAATCTGAGGTCAGGAAGATGAGTAGCATGGAAGGCTGATATAAGCACCAGGGTTGGGCTGTGTCTGTTTTACGTCAAGATTAACATGAGGATGAAGGAATCAGGAACCCTGCTGTGACTGCAGAGTCACAGAGGCCAAAGGTTTTGCCTTATCTTCTTACTGTGCATGTTTAACAAGATCCCAGTGTGAGAGTCAGGACCATCCACTTTTTTGATTTCCTGGAGTTTATTTCATACTCCTTTTCTATACCATGTCAGCATTGGTCACTCCGAGCACCATGGTACCTGCTTGTTCCAATCTCAGCTCACTATGAGGCCACTTCTTACATTAAAAAGGAGAATCTGGCTAAATAGGTCTCAAGAGTGACAATTTTGTTTTAAATTGCTCTTAGTAGATTCCAGTCAAATCCAGAGGATCTTATTAGCTAACAAGTTCTAGGCCCTGCCACAAGCCCAAGGTGGCCATGGATTTAGAGGGCAAGGCAATGATCCCGAGTCCATCCCTTGCCTCTCTCACTTGTGCCTAACCATGTCAAGTGAGTCTGACCTACAGGCAAGCCCCAGAACTGTTAAATTTTAATAGCATCAGAGAGGAGAGTCTGGTGCTCCCTTGGTATTTTTTTATGTCTTTGATAAAATGATTGTTGTATATTTTATTTGCACTGAATTGTACCATTCAAATTTTATTTCTGATTTGATCCATTCATAAATGTAACCTAAAACTATAAAAACTTGAGATGGACAGAGATTTCTGAGATTTTTTATCACTTCAGCTAAATACAGCCATAAATAAGAGTAAATAGTTGCCATTAACTTTATGGCTATTCACTTGATATGTATTCTGGAACAAAATTTTAATTTGAATTGCTCTCTTTCCATTACTTAGCCTGCTTCTGAAGAGGCTGTCTTGTCCATAGGTCATATTCTGTTCATGAACTGCAAAATAATTTGAATACTCAAATAAGCTAAACATAATAAAAACCATTTATGGTAGAAAGAGAAAAAAATCAAATCATGCAGCTATAGATTTTCTTCCCTTATGATAGCATTATTAATTGAATTAATAGCAAGTTGTACGATTATATATACACATATGATATAAATGCACATCTGTGTAAATAGCTGTGTGAATCTACATGTGTGCTTATATGTAGATGTACATGCGTATCTGTGCATATGTATGATGTAAATGAATGTCTTAGTATAAAACATTTCCATTAGGGAGATAGCCTTTATTAATTTTTAAAAATTATTCGTATTGGAATATCCTAGTATCTCCTCCTTCGAATATGAGTTGGAAAAGGAATAAGAAGTCACAGAGGATTTGTTGAATGTTTAATAAACTTGGAGACTCTTGCTTCTTGAAGGGATTCCCCATAGGAGCTTTTATGGTCATTGGTGCCTCCTTTATCCTGTGAGTGTATGGAGTAGATACTTGACTAGAGCCACTTCTATTCTCATTTCTGGGCTGTCACAGTGACGGTATGAGGACTCAGGAGGAACTGAGGCTCACCCTGCTCCTCCATGGCAGTGCGCCACGTGGCTCTACTGGGTTGTGTAAATGTAGCTGTAATTTTGGATGTCATCTGTGTAAAGTTTATAAGATCTTTAGCAAGGTGGTGATTAGGCTTCCATGTTTTCCATATACCTGACTGCATTTCCCAGTGCCATAATGGTAGTTGCTGTTGTTGGTACCCAAGCAAGAGCCCAAGAAGTAGAGTTTCAGTTCTGTGTCGTGCATTTTATGTATTGATTAGATTGTAACTTTCACTTAATTGTGTTTTTCAGACCATTTGACTTTATAGAACCATGACTGGGATAATTTACATAAAATACATTTAATTTATGCAGATAGTGTAAGTCAAGACCACATAGTCTATGTGGACATATTCCTGGGATGAAAAGCATGGGAAATGTATGTATACAGAAGTTTATTTTATTGTAGGGAAGCTGCTTGATCTCTATCACGGCCACAGAATTCCATGTTAGATTTTTTTCGAGGGGTGTGGCTCCTCTTCTTGGCTGGCATTTCATTCAGCGTGCTGCTTCACTGACAATTGACTGAATTTTCATTCACTGGTTGACCACTTCTAAGTGGGCCATCATTTGTATTGTTTTAACCACATCCCCCAGGATAGGAAGCTTTAGAAAAAATTGCAATTATCTTCATTTCCTCTGTTTGGCTGCTGCATGCATGATTTAAGATACCTGACTCATCTTTGACCCAGCTGAGAGTGGAAAAAACCTGAACCCAGGCATTCTAGCTCCTGGCTGTGGATCTCTCCACTAGAGTGTGCTGCCCACTAAATAATCGTGGATCACTGACCAGAAAGGATGGCGGGGGTGCTAGGCAGGGTTGTGGGAGAACGCTTCTCAAGGATTCCCAGTGACAAAGAAAAAAATCCTACACATACAATATGTTTTGACCCTTGCATTTTTCTTCTCTACCAAGGCAAGTTTTGCCTTTGTTCAGCAAACATCTTCACGGAGTGCAGTTTTTTTTTGGAAAGCGCATGGCCAGCGCTTGCGGCTTAGGGTTTTAATCAGTGGCTGGCTGGTTATTTTACCTGGGGCATGGCGTTATAATTGCTCCATGCCTCAGTGGCTTTATTTACACAGCAAGGTTAAGAAAATACTTACTTGTCTCTTGGAATTGTGGCACAAAACACCCAAATATATTCAAGTGTGGTAGTGTGCCATGTTACTTCACAAACATTTTCCTGATAGACTATTTCTCTAGACGTTTTCTTTCTTTAGAAGATTAATAATATCATGTGTCATGAGCTCAGTGTATATGTTATAACTTTTCTGAAAGGGTCTCCCTCTATATTCTTTAAGTAGATTTTTGTGAGATAAATGAGATTCACAATAATATGACATATATGATATACTGTTCCCGTGACTGAAATCTGATGCCACTTAAGCAATTACTAGCCACAGAATAAGATAACCTCACTCATTGAAAAAGATCTGTTAGGGAGATTGGTTCGTGTTGCCCTTCTAAAGTCACTGAGAATTTTGCCCAAGGAGCTACTTACAAAACAGACCACAAGTGAAGTACCTTGTGTGAGCTACTGTTTGTGTTAGGATGCTGCAGGAGCAATATTTGATGAGATAAACTATTATGAATATGATGAACTGTTATTGCGTATCCCAACTGTAACTTCGATGCCATGCTTGGGAATGGGTATGACTGTAGAACAAGTGTTCTTTTATATTTGCGAAGTTGGGAGAAAAATCCAGCAAGCCGATTTTTCCCTTCATGTGATCTGATGCACTGACTGCTCATGTCTCTGCCTTACAGAGCCAGTTTCCCACTGCCTCTTCTTTCCCTGCTGTTTTTTCCAAGGATGTTTCAGTTCATGGTGAACTATTTTTATTTTTTAGTTACATTAATGCTATGAAATAATTAGTCAGCTAATTAATCTGGTTTACAAGCTTTGTAGGATTCTTCAGCTGTCAGTCAGGCCCAGGCCTGAGGCCTACATCGAGTCTCAGCTCTCTTGCCCATGTGATTCCTGTTGCCATGGCTACTGGCTACATCTGCTGACACCCCACTCTCTATTTATTGCTTAATTAAGAATTTCACGCTCAGCCCTTATCTGCCTCTAAGAACAAGCGTACACTGTTAAGAAATTCCAAATTTAGGCCCAGGCACAAGGAAAGCCTTTCTTATGGGCTTGGCTGTATGGAGCCTCTCTAACGATCCTCTCGGCATCCCAGCCGCCACCCTTCAATCAAAAATCATTAAATGGGGCAGAGATAATGAGCATGTAGCATATCAAAAGAAGGATGTTTGCTTGGTCCAAAGGAGGAAAAGCTGCTCGACCCCATGCTCAGCTCCACTTCAAAGGCAGAGGAGACCTCTCAACACTGGGGCCTGATAATGCCTCATTTGTTCTTGGCTTGACTTATGCAAAAGGTCTGGTATGTCAGAGTCCAATCTCACAGACGTGGGTTTCCCCCACCTCTTGCCTCCACCTCCACCAGCCCCCACCCCGGCCTTCCGCACACTCCTGTGTCAG